GAGAGAGAGAGAGAGAGAGAGAGAGTGGGGGTGTATAAATCCACAGGAACAAAAGCACACGGAAGGAGGTCAGCTCTGAAATGATGCTCACAGAACAAGAGCTGTCGGTTCAGCTGAAGCACGGCTCACCGCCTTCAGATAATAACAGAAAAAAAAAGTTCCTGTCTGCTGAGCCAAAAGGGAACAAACAGATTAAACCGAAAATCATTGTGCAGCTTACCTGCTGCGAAAAATTGTCTGTTTCTTATGCAAATCTCACCTGGCCTGTCAATAAAGTCACAGTGACCCAGTCCGGCAATCTCCATCCTTTTGAGGAAGAGCACGGTGGAGGTGATGTCAGACTCCACGATACGAGGGCGGATCTCAGCAGGCAGCTGCCTCTCCTTTGGGTACAGACAAAAACACTTGCCTACAGGACAGGAAAATCACTTTGAGATGAACAAACATCCAGAAGGTGATTTAAATCTGAAACGTTTGGTAACGGTTAGAACCTCCCTCACCTGTTGGACCYGTTAGCTGTTTGCGGCACTCGCTCTGACCTGTGCTGATTGGCTGGATGATGACTGAGTTTGTTCTGATCCTGGGGTTATAAATCTGCAAAATATTCACAAGGACTTCACTTCATTTGTACACAGAGGTCTAAAACAGGCACTCAACGACATATTTTATGCTAAAAACATAAAATGTGGCAAACAATCAGAATAAACTCAGCTATAGTTCACAACAATATAATACTAATAAATACTGTACCTAGAGAATTAGCATTTCCTGCAAAAAAAATGCAGTGTGAATGCTTAATGCTGAAAGAGTTGTGAGCTAAAAAGCTAAAACTAACCTAAATAGCTTTAAAAAGTAGTAGCTGAAACTGAAAGCTGAAATTATCACAAAAAGAACTTAGCTGAAAAAAATTCTAATTAGCAAAGAGTAGCTAAAAGAAGAAAAAAGCAGCTGAAATTAGCAGAAACCAGCTGAAAGATGCATAAAAATGGAAAATACCAGAAATAAGTTAAAAGAAACACAAAAAGTTATAATTGGCAGAAGAATGCTGTGTCTGTTAGCAAAATATATTTTCAACCACTGGATAGATTTCGATGAAACTTTGAGAGAGTAAATAATGGCTGCACATCTACGGCTGATTAACATTTGGAGTCATCTCACTTCAAAGTTGTTGCTACAGAAGGTCAACCTTTGCAAGATACTGAGCCTAAACTTTAGTGTGGTAGAAGCTGAGAGTCATTCACACAAGATATTGCAGAACTCCTTCTAAATAAATATGAACAAACGTACATGTCTTCTCTCCAGTCCAGCATCAACAACAAAGTTTATTGAGTTAACAGCCCAGAAGAAATCCTCGTTAGGGCTGCATGTGAGAAACACTCTTCGTGTCCGGTGGGCCTCCTCCTCCTCCCCTAAAACGGGTAAAGTCCCAGGCTGACCAGGGTGCACGGCGATCGGCAGCAGCTCACCCCGATCAGACATAGCGCTGCGGCCCTCGTGACACAGGATGTCATAGGCCAGGTCTATTTCCTGGATGGGGGATAAATAACGAATGAACCTCTGACGGGACTCTGTTTTTTTTTAAATTAGATTTCCTGGGTGGCTCAGTGTTGCTCTTTACCTGCGTTGTAACCAGAAACACGACCACATCCCCCTGCTCCTCAGACCGGTGGATCTCCAGCACGAGTTGGAGAGCAGAGCAGAAGTAGTTGTCGCCCGTGCTGCTGTGCACCACCTCCCCAAYGCCGGGGGCCTCCAGGTGGATCACCGGCAGCGGGGACCCGGTGAAGAGCGCCAGCTGCCTGGGGCTTGGTTTGAYAGCTGATAGAAGGACCAAGTGGAGCTCGGGCCTCTGCAGGGCAATGCCCTTCAACAAACCCAGGAGCACATCGGTGGCTACGGTCCTCTGGTGGGCCTGATCCACCACCACCACGCCGTAGCGCATGAGCAAAGGGTCTGACATCATCTCCTTCAGGAGCACGTCATCCGTGCAATACCTTGAATGATATTAGAAATCATTTGAAATATAGACACGAGACAGAAAATGAGCTTACAAAAAAAAAAGAGTTGATACCCTAGACTCTGTAGTAAAAACCTCCTTTTTAAACAGAAGCTTTTTCTAAAGTAAAATCATTTTTACATTTTAAAGTGGCAATATCATGTAAAATCAACTTTTTTTGAGTTTTATATCGTGTTATAATGTTATACTCTCATAAAAAAAACATGGCCAAAGCCTTGCTTTAACTCATTCATGCATGTTTGAGAAATCCTGCAGCGTTTTTAGGCAGCCATGCTGAGGAGCAAAACGACAGGTGGGGACCAGAAACGCCTTTTGGGACCAGAAACGCCCCTGGGACGTGTCTTTAGGCTGAACTTCCACATGGAAGTTCCCCACTGCCAGCTTCCCTTCATTGGCTCCTTGTTTATTTTAGAATTAATCTAAAGTTTTATTAATGATCTATAAGTCTCTGGATGAACTGGTGATTGGGCCTTTTCAGTTGTGGCTCCTAACTGTGGAACCAGCTGCCCCTTCACATCAAAMAGGCTTGGTGTTTTTAAATCTCATCTTAAAACACGTTTGTTTTCAAAAAGCCTTTAATTCCGCAACAGAGTTGACTTTTTCACATTTGTTTTTAGTTTTCTTATGATCTTGCATTCCATTTTGTCGTTTTATTATTTGTGAACAGGGCCGGCCCTAGACATTTGGGGGCCCTAAGCAAGATCTGTTTTGGGGGCCCTGCTTCACCATAAGTAGACCGTAAAAGATATGCAAAACTAAATGCTGTATGTAATTATAAACCCTGTGCAGAAAATTTGACCAGAACATAGTGTACCCTAGTTTACTGAATGATCAGAATGAGGCTCAGTGTTGAAACTTTTAATATTGTATCATTATTAATAATTAGTATTAGTATTATATAATATTTAATAGTTGGTATGCTTGTTTGTCTTTGTGTCTATGGTGTATAATGATGTGATTGTGATGCTGTATTTCTGAGTGTTTTACTGTATGTGCTGCAGAACAGGAACCTGCTGTAAAACAGCAATTATGCTGAGTCAGGCTTGATTTTTAGTAATCTTTTCCTGTTAAATAAATAAATCAAATCAAATCAATATGAGATTAACTTTGCTTCGACTATTACAAGATTCCAAACATAAAGTTCAAACAAATATATGATGCCAATTCAACAGAATAAAAAAAAGATTATAGTATGTTGAAACATTTATTCTCTAAATTATAACTGGTAACAAGCCAAGTACATAAATAAAACATTGAATACACGTTCAAATCTTTACATGAAAAAGTACAAAATGTAAGGCTTAATAATTGTATTGAGCATTTACATTTTGTTGGTCAAAGTGCTTCACAATTTGTGAAGCACTTTGATCAACAACAGTTGTTTTAAAAGTGCTACACAAATAAAGTTGACTTGACTAGAGTAGAATCTTAATGAAAGTTCATTTCAGCTTAAACTATAATTTCTTTTAATTAGATTTTGAAATTGCTGCCTTTTTGCTTATTTTGTGGGCTGCCTGCTGATAACGTCTCCCTCCCCTCAATTTGCTGAGCTTCTTTGTTCCCCAACTAACTTATGAGGGACCCCGCATGGCGAGTGTGACATATGGGTCGTCAGGGAGCCGGGCAGCTGTGATGGAGCCACTGAAAAGAGCCCCTCGGTTCTTTTGTTCCCTGTTCTCTTGAGAATTAGTGGGGGGCGATTTAGAAGTGTCTCACCGCCATGCATTGTTGCAAGAGGTGAGAAAGAGTCGGAGAAACTCAGGCTATAAGTTGATGTTTGTGGCGTACCTGAGGATAGTGTCATCAGAGCAGCATGTTTCTAAAGGGATGGTGTACCCGACTTCATGGCCAATGTTGACGTCCATCTCATCGGCCACTTTTAGGGCGAGATCCACTGCCTGCTGTGGATGAATCTGAGTGCACACGACCATACCATGCTGGAACTGGACTGACAGGCAGAACTCAGCACACCACTGAGGAATCTGTGTCAGAAAAAAAAAAGTGAGAGTGGGAATAAAGGGTTTGGATTTGATCTCGCCTCATCATCGAAAATCCTGAAATCTACTCACTTGAGAGCTCCTTCCAGTTTTAGCAAAACCGTTGACAGCCACAAACTGCCCTTTGGCCAAAGAGTCCATAAATTCACCCTTAGCCCTCCACACTGGCAGCTCTTTCCTTTCTTCCAGCAGCTTGTAAAACCTAGAGGAGTAAGGCAGTCCATCAAACTGATTGAGCTCCAAGATGTCATCATAGTCTCTGTCGCCCTGACTCACAGCCTCCGAGTCTGAGCAACAGGGCGACTTCCCCTCCAAGTAGTCCTCTCCACTTAAACTCGAGATGTCCTGMGCCATCGCAAACGAGCTCCCGGCCTGTCCGCTGCCCTCTTCATTTACAGATCCGCTCAAAATGAAGTTGGTGGGGTGGGGAAGCTCTAGCACTCAGTGTACCGGCTCTACGGCAAGCACTGATACAAGCTTTCTGCAAGTCGAGCCAAAGTGAAAGGCTCTCTGGGAGCCCAGCCCAGTGTCGTCATGTGGCCACTAATCCCACAGAATGATTTCAGTCATCAACAGAACACACACACACACACACACACACACACACACACACACACACACACACACACACACACACACACACACACACA